TTTTGTTTCTGTTGAACCACAGACAGAGGGCTTGCTATCTCTGCTTCTAGGTCTGCTGCTGTAGGCTTGTCGAGCTTGGGGCTCGGCACTGTGCTCCCTCCCACACATTCTTTATCAGGGATGCAGGTCTCATGGGGTAGCCCAGAAAACCCCTTTGGCATGTATTCAAAATGTAGCCAATGTTGTTTCCTGTGTGTGCTGGGGGCTGGTTCTATGGGCCCACATCTTTTTCACCACCAGACTTGTGTTCGTCTTGCGTGGATGTTTTAAAACTTATCTGGCATTCGTTTCCATTAAAATCTGTAACCCTGTTGCCTTACAAATTCGACAGTCATATTTTTTCTTCAAAGAGGATTTTTTTTTTTCTGTTTTTGATTCCCTCTTGCCTTTTTAAAGAAAATCTTTACAAAAAGACTTAAGGGTCCACTCTTTCTTGACTACAAAAGTGCAAGAGGAGGGAGAGGATCTGTGAGGGAAGATAGAGTATATTCAACCCCTCCCTCAAATCAGAGCCCTGGTCCCCTCCCTTCTTGAAGGGGCACAGCCTTTCTCAGAAGAAGCTGTCTTAGGCCATGGCTCCATCCATCCTCTGTAGGACTTGCCCACCATCTCACGTTTGTTTAGTCTGAGCTTTGGACTGAGACTCACAGCACTTTTTTGAACCCAAAGCTATTCTGGTGGCCTGCCCTGTACCCTCACCCCGCCATACAGAGGTGAGTTTCCTGAGGTGTGAATAAGATAGGCCTGGAAGAAAGTCTGGCTGAAGTTTACTTAGTTTTAAACCCTCGGGGCACCTGAACCTTGATTCCCAACATCAGATTGGTGTCAGTCCTAGTCCAGCGTTGGCAAAGATTGGAGGTCTTGAATGTCAAAGTTAATGCCGCCAGCCCAAGAGCACGTTGCCCTAACTGACTCCCCAATCTGGAATGAGAAGGAGAAACTTTGATTTTGAGTTAGACATCATTTTAAGCATTGACTGCCAAATGGAGTTCTCCTGTATACATCCAGACTCTTCTGCATAAAGGGACGAGGGGGATTTCTCTTCTCCCACGGGGCTCCTCATCCCACCACTTGTTGATCTGTCTCACAGGGCATTCATTTCCACCATCTCCTTTGTGGTGTGCCCGTGCATGCAGGTGTGTGCACACAGTGCACATGTTTTGGAGTGGAGATGGCTCTGCTTCCTTCTAATATCACTGTTCCCAGGTGCCCCCCGCCTACTCTCTCCTGGTCTAGGGCAATTCTTTCTTTGGTGGGAGGGACCCTAGGTGCTGCAAGTGTCTCATTGGAATGGTCTGAGCCCTGCTCTGGGTGCTGGGTTCTGACTTCTAGACCTTGCCTTTCAGAAGGAGGCAGGTTTCACCTCCATGCTGTTGGGAGGAGTAGCATCCTGACTGGAATTGTGTTTGTACTCTAGCAAGACAGCAAGCCCTGGATGGGCCACCTGGTGCCAGGTGGTATCAGGGTAACAGAAGGAGGTGGCATCCACGTTCTAACTCAGAAAATGTCACAGCCTTTGAGGCTCTGGTGGAATCTATGTGGTCATCTCACACACCCTGAGCACTTCATTACTGAGTGTGCTGCAGAGAAGAGATGCACAGCACCTGCAAGGTGGCAATAAGTGGCAAGGTTTAGATGAAAATATGGAGGATGTGTGGCCTGGTCCAGGACTTACATGGAAACAGGCCCCGTCTTCAGTAAGGTTGACCTGTATCTTTTCTCTCTTCTTTGCCCCTTTAAGCTTCAACAGTCAGCACAACTTTACCCACATCAGAACTACGTAAGTTTCCCCAAGCTCTCTCTCTCAGTCACTGCACTCCATGTACTCAAGGGTTGAGCTGAGTGTGCAAAAACTTTGGGGCTCGAATCATTAGTCAAAATGTGTTTCCTACCAGAAAATTATTGGGACACAATGTAAATCCAATGTAAGTCCATAGGCCAAGAATTCAGGCAGAATCTCAAAGCACCTATGATTCCGCCCAAGAGGGACCCATCAAGAAACTCTAGGAATCAATGTACAATCTCAGAATCATGGCACCTGGAGGGTTGGGTAATGGGTCTTCTTGCTGACTCTTGGGTTGATTGTTGGCTGATCCTGTGGAGTATGATGCCATGGCAATTCTGGCCTGTTCGTCTCTGGGCACTGGCTTCTATAATCTGGTCACAAAGCCCCCAAGCAAACAATATCAGTGCTGGCATGAGACAGATGCATGTACAACTGCCTGAAACAACCGCATATTCATGACGGCCCATGCAGGGTCCACAAGTTTGCACATGAACAGCATCAGATGAGGTTGTAAATATGTTGAGTATTCTCAATCCTTGGTTTCAATCGGTACAAAGCAAGGCAGTATATCTGACTCTTCATCTCTTTCTCACAGCTGTGACAAACTCCTCCACACCCTGGCCAGGTGAGTCCACAGCATCCTTACAAGGCTTTTTCCTTCCCTCCCTGCACCCTCACCGCTCCTCCTTTCATTTGACATTCTTTTCTCTGCAGAAACTCGGAACATCTTGTTTCCTCCCGCTCTGTTCCCGAGCCTCCCAGTAGGCTTCTTAACTTGACGCTGAGATGCACAGAGTCCTGTCCTCCTATCAGTGTGGCTGTGTTTTCATTAACCCCTTTGATACTGCCCACAGCAGATAGCTTTCTGCAGGATCAGAGAAACGGCCATGTGTTGCTGGGCTGACATGACCTTTCTGGTAGAACTGAGCCTGAGAACCACTGTCCTTCTGTCGAAGGGAATGTCTGTGAGGACGTCTGTCCTATCCATCACTCTGCACTATTCTCAGCATCAGCAGGGCCACATCTGCATCCAGAGAAGAAGAGATCCTGATGGAAGGGACAGAGAAACCTTCCTACGCTGGGTGGGATTGTTGACCCAGGGAGGTTTTTCGAAGCGATTCTTCAGTAGATTGGGCAACTGTGATTGGTCTTTGTGGAAGTCACCGCCACCGATAATGGCATGGTGCAGTT